CAACTGCAACTCGTGTTTTTAAATGAAAAATGTATTCTGTGTGATTGGCTTTCGGCCCTTTGTATTAAACTATGCATACATACATGATGCTGTTTTGTTTATAGTTGTTTAAGCAACTTAATTATAATTGGTTTATAAACATTATTTTAAACATTATGCCATTTTTTTCAAAGATAGTCATGTTATCTTATGCTTTGAATAAACGTGCATTAGTAATATTTTGCTCGATGCGCCCTCTTGTGGCCTCAGAAGAGAAGCCAAAAGCTTTTCTTCACCCTGACTGAAATTAGGCATTTTAAATTCGAATATAATTCGAATTTTGATCATATTTAAGTACAAAATTCGAATTTAGTTTTTCAGCCATTTTGACAGCCCTACAGCACATAGAAGTCTGACACAACAAATAGTGGATCTGATACAGAGACTATTTTTGTCTGGAAAGGAAATGAAAAGTTGTGTTGTTTAGTTCCACTGCATTGTGCTGGAACCTTTAGTTTGATTAACACCTTAATGAACAGCAGACACAATGAACCAAGTCATTTTCTTCTTCTGTGTATTTCCTTGGATTATGCAAACCACGTCCAGTGGTAAATATATCAAACACTATAAAATTAACAAATCAACCTCAAATTAACTATTAACAGTTTAAAATTAATTGCTTTTTTATCTTTATCAATGTCTCTCCAGATGCGTCAGTGCGAGGATCTTCTGATCTGTTAAGGGTTCAGATGGGAGAAAGCATCAGTCTGAACTGCAGCATGAGAAGCCGATATGAAGTCGCCTGGTATCACCTCAGATCTGGAGAACTGCATCTACTGACTGCTGCAGAGAAAGATGAATCAGGAAGAAAACTCCTGATCAACTACAATCCAAACAGCCCTCGACTGAATCTTACAGCAGACACTTGGGTCACCAGAGCCACGCTGGTTATTTCTGGAGTAACAGAGTCAGATGTGGGTCTTTATTTCTGTGGAACAAAGTCTGACGCTCCAGAGATGTTCTTCGACAAACCCATCAGACTAGAGATCCAGGGTAACAGATTTCAGCTTTATATCATATGTGAACAAATTTTGTCATTTTGTGTGTGGTGGTGGGGGAATGGATAAGATGAGTCAGCCAAGACCTTAAAGAACAATCTTCTCTGATTTAATCCATAAAAGTAGTTTTGTTGGCATAAATAAATGTATTTAGGTTGATTCAGTGATGCTGGATAATATGTTTTTAATTTGAATAAAACCAGTTTTCTCCCTCATATTTATACTGAATGGATATTTCATATTCCTTTCATATTGGATATATCAGAGTAAATTTTCAGACCACAATCAAACACCTACCAACCTACATTTCTTGATCTGAAAAAACTAATCCTAAAGGCCCTGAAACGCCATTATCATTTTTATTGCATAAAGGATAAGTTAAAAACTACAGAAGCTCATCTTAACCCAATCTTATACAACTAACAACTAAAGACAGTTCTGTGTGTAAATTTATCATATATTTACAGGTCTTATTGTAGTACAAGAGACAAAAGAAGAAGCTGACAACACAGGTAACATGTTGATTGTAATGTTGTATATTCCATTGTTAATGTTTTAACTTCTGCGTTCTGTATTGTACTGTATTTTGCAGTTAACACTTTCTGTTGTACAAACATGAATAAATCTCTGTCTGTCTGCAGACGAGGTGACGGTGACACTGACGGAGCGTGTGCTGATGTTCGGTGGTGTTGGTCTGGCTGTGTTGGTGTTTTTTCTGGCTACAGTCATCGCAGGAGGAATCATTCACTATCACGGCTGGCAGAAAGGATGGACCGCAGCCAAACGTTCATCTCTGATTCACCACAAATCAGCTAAATAACTTCTATTTCTGCTTTAACTCAATATATCCCTGCGATCTGCATTGCTTTGCTGTACCACGAATTAAAACAGGAATTGTGGCTGAGATGCTTTTCCTGTTGACTTGATCTACTTTCGCTTCAGAGATGTTCTGGCAAACGTTGCATTGTTTCAGCACCAGTAAAACTTACACGATCATTAATGGCTGTGGTTATTATTCAGGTTTGTGGTTCATTTGTGCTTGTCAGTAACATTAAGTTAAATATAAAAACACTGTTACTGCTACTCTTTTTAATGCAACATGATTCAATATTCAATATACACAATATTCAAGCCAGACTAGCATGTTTAAAGCAACTTTTGTTTTTACCTACTTTAATGTAGAGATTGAGCCGATGAGTGATCTGTCAAAACCAATATGAACAAATATATGCTTTAATGTCATTAGATCAGCAGGACTTGTGATAAAAAGATGTTATTAATACGTACATACAAGCTATTTTCGGGAGAAAATATAAATGTAAGTCTCTTCTGTGGCACATAAAGCTTTATTAAATAATCAGATGTCTTAATGTTAAATGTATTATTTACAGTTCAAATTGTAAAACTGAGAAACTATATGTTTGTGCATTTTCTGACGGAAAACCTGATCATTACCAATGCTAAACCTCTTCAAACACTACAGCTGAATTTTCATGATTTCTTTGGGTTCCTGCAGGAGTGGATGGTAATGAGGTGGTAGATAAAAAACACATTTATACGAAATAATAGAGATCACTATCACTGTGAATTAATGTGTAAGCATATGAAGCAGTACGTAACACCTTGCAAAAGAGAGAGGAGAAGGGGAGGCATCTGTTCGAGATTCAGAAAAATATGGAAACAGGAGACTTCAGTATCAAGAAGGAAAAAATCAATACCAAAGACTCTATAGGAGGCACAGAGTTGAATGGCAATTTACATAAAATTAACAAGCATGCTGAAAACAAGTGCAATGAACTAGAAATAGCTGAACTGATGTTTTCAAAACATCAATACTCATGTACTGATATTAGCCAATTAAAACACTGACAAGCAAAACACTTTATTAATATTACAAGGGAATTTAAATGAACCTATTTAAAGGGATACTCCACCCCAAAATGAAAATGTTGTCATTAATCACTTACCCTCATGTTGTTCCAAACCCGTAAAAGCTTTGTTCGTCTTCGGAACACAATTTAAGATATTTTGGATGAAAACCGAGAGGCTTGTGATTGTCCCATTGACTGCCAAGTAACTTACACTGTCAAGGTTCTATCTGCATGACTTAAAGACCACTGATGCCGGAAGATACGTTTCAAAAGTGTTTGCCAATGATAAACTACTTGACCGCTTCACTCACGACATCCATGTTAAAGGTAAGCTCAAAACTGATTTAAATATTGATTTGTAGGGGTGTGCGATATCGACAAAAAATTATTTTATTTATTTTATTTTTATTTAGTCATTTATCAGACGCTTTTATCCAAAGCGACTTACAAATGAGGACAACAGAAGCAATCAATTGTAGTATTAAAACAACTAAAAACAGATCCAAAACTAAAAGCTAAAACTTTATAAATACATACTATACACATTTTAAAAATAAAGAGATTAAATAAAAATGACAAATGCATTCAACAAAATTTCTCCAATAAGTTTAAACTGATTTTTACATTTTATGGGCATTTTTACCTTTATAAAGCCATTTTTTTTTTTCTAAAAGTGTCCATTATCTTTTGAGTCAAATTCTTACATTTAATCAGTGAATTAGACTTTTGTATGGAAGCCCGTTTCCGCCACTGAATAAAATTTTAAAAAAGGTTATTGCGACTTTTTTTCTCGCAATTCTGACTTTTTTCTCAGAATTGCGTGATATAAACTCGCAATTGTGTGTTATAAAGTCAGAATTGCGAGTTTATATCATGCAGTTCTGAGAAAAAAAAAGTCAGAATTGCGAGTTTGTATCAC